TGTTCGCTGCCTATGGCCGGACTACCTGCATTGCCAGAGGAAAGATGCAGCTGTCTGCTTTCCTGACCTTGCATCCAGGAGCCCTTGTGAGTAGAAGGATTTCCAATATATTAACTATTTCATGAAAGTGAGTTGATCTGAGCCCTCTGAACTGCTGTGTGGACTAATTAGCTGTTATAGTCCTTCATGCTGAATATATCTATCCTCGTATACGTATATATGTATGTATGTATGTGTGTGTATAAATATACATATACATAAGTGTCCTGGATTCGTTCTCTAGAGAACTGTCTAACACAGGCTGCGATCCGCGTGGTTGGCAAATGGAAACCACCAGCAGCTCCGTGGGAGAGAGACTGGGCATCTCCTCCAGAAAACAGGGACCGACCGACCGTCTCCGAAACCAACAGGGGTTGCTCTGGGTCAGCGCCGACTCCATGGCAGTGAGTCCAGATCAAGACCAGAGATGGAAGAGGGAAGAGACTGTCCACGATGTAGGGATTTGGGAAGCTTTATGATGAGAGAACACTACTGTCATTTTGGTTTTGTAATTTTTAAAATGCCCCTTAAAAATCTGTCTCCACAGCTGGTCAGCAAGCACAGTGTTGACCACACGCACATGCACTTCTGAAGGCACAGAACGTTTCCCTGGGAATTCAGTGATGGGATGATGGGAAGGCCCGCTTCCCTGCAACACACACACATACATACGAGCACAGATTTGCACAGACACACACATATACTCACGCATATGCACACTGGCCATTCATACATGCGCATATACTCAGCCACACTCGCATGTACACAGCAGTGTCAAGCTCAACACCTGACAGGAACCCAAGCACACAGTGGGTTGAGGGTCCAGAGTCCCTCTTCCTCCAGCAGCTCTTGGGACAGGGGGCAGGGGACCCAGGGGAGGGTTTGGACACCTGGGACCCCCAGCTTTCTAAGTGACTGGTTCCCGGCAAGCCTTGCTGAGTGACAGCCCTGGGCCACACCCCTCTGCCAGACCCTTTGCTGCTCACTCCCCTCATGGCCCTGCTGGGTGAAACTGTGGAAACATGGGCTCACGTCTAACCACCTTCCTGCCCACTCACATGCCAAGGAAAAAGCACTGATCTCTCAAAATAGGCCCATCCACGTCGAGGGCTGGCCGCATCACATGT